GTAGCAGTTGTAGCAGTAGTAGCAGTAGCAGTAGCAGCAGCAGCCGTAGCAGCCGTAGCTGCAGCCGTAGGTGGTAGTAGTAGTAGTGGCAGCGGTAGCAGAATTCCAATCTCCGGAGGACTGGAGCTTCGGTGGTTGGGCGAAGAAGGTGCGCACCAAGAAGAGATAGCTTGTCTTGCAAAACGTGGTTTTTGCGGGGTTGTGATTCCGTGAGAATTCGTGCTATCTCTCCTCTGATGATGGCGACAAATGTTGCTGGCATTCTTGTTGCTCCATTTTGCTGCGTTTTGTAAGCATGCAGTGTATCTGATAGCATGCTACATGGATTCACTTTCGTCAGGATTGTCGAGCTTAGGATTAGAGTTTCATGGGTGTGGCATCACTTGTGCCGAGTAGGGCTTTCTCGTTGTTTTATGAAATAGGTGTTACCTTTTTGTTGTAAGCTGTGTCATTCTTTTGCTGGAGCCTAACGGTCGTCGCCGCTATCATGAATATGCAACTTGCTACCATGATACTTATCTCGATGCTGACGATGGGAATGAAGAAGGTGAAGAAGATGATGGTGGTGAAGGTGATGGTGATGGTGTTGTGATGTGTTGTCGTGTGTTTCATTTGCAAACCTGCCGCTGACTTGAAGAGGGCAAGGAAGCTTGAGCCCTTCGAGTCTGAACCGGAGACCCTAGGCCCTAGGCCCCTGAGCCGAGAAGCGCAGTAGCCACCGTCTTTGTCTAAAGGGGGCCCTGGGCCTGGGATGCCCTGCAGAGCCCTGGAGCCCCGGTGCTCTTCTCCCAGGAGAAGCCGCTTCCTCCTCCTTGCGAGACCCCCGAGTACGAGGCAGAGAAAACAGAAAGCAACAAAAAGAGAGTAAAGAGAGCAGCATTAGGGGTAGAAATGAGCCCGGCCCCACATGAGGCGATGGCAATTGATCACGCCTGAGTTAGACCCTGCGCAAAATCTGGCTCTGGGGGTTGATCACATGTTGTACGCCGGCCCCCTCGTGAGGTGTAACGGCACACAAGTCCGAAAACCCTCCCACCATTGGGCCATGACAACTCATCACACATCTCTGAAATCCCCTTCCATGGGCGATGGTGGGTCATCCCTTTGCTTAAACCCACCCTCTGACAGTGGAAGGTGATCACATTTCTTAATCCCAGCCCCTCTTTAGGCGATGGCGGGTGAACACCGACAGCTTAAACTAGCTCCTCTTTCGCGACACTGGGTGATCGCACAAGTCTGAGGCAATTATGGGTGATCACACTCCTTCAACCCGCCCCCTCACTAGGCAATGGCAGGTGATCACACATTTCTCAAACCAGGCACCGCATTAGGCGAGTGCAGGTGCTCACATTGATTGGCGGGTCATCGCACGTTTTCATAAGCCCGGCAGACAGAGACAGATAAGGATAGACATGGAGATGGGTTTTTGGACGGGACCCCCGGTCCGGACCCACTCGCTGCAAGACGAACGATACCCCCAAAGTTACACGATCGCTCCTGTTGCCCTAATCTTCCATCTTCTTCCTCCAAGTTTCTGCAAACTCCCGGAAGTGCCCTAAACCCTAAACCCTAAGTCCCTGAAGCCTAAACCTGCCTCCGAGCTGCGAGTGAAAGAAAGCACCGTCTCGAAAATGCCTTAAACCCCCAAACTAACGAACATCAACACTAAACCCTTATACCAAACCCCAACCCCCAAACAAAGTATGTATATATATATATATATTTTCTATATATATATAAATATGTATATATATATATATGTATATATATATATATATATAAATATAATTTTATTTATATATATACACACACACACACACATATATATATATATACTTATACATATATGGAGCCCGAGCTGACTGGAGGTTCCTTCCCCCGAAGCGTTGGGGAGGTTTTCGGAGTTTCTAGGGGGGTGTCTAGTATGGCTTGTATGGAGGCTCCTTTCATCTTAGGAATTCGGCCATCGTCCCCTGTTACCGAAAATCCCACCGTGGCCCAGGGCATGATGAACGCGCCAGTCTTTACCGCGCCCCCGTGGGAAGGACGGCCTGGCTCTAGGAGAAGGTTTGTATTCCGAATCGAGGATTGTGCGCCAGAATGCGCCAGACTTTTAATCTGTGAGGGGCAGAAGTGTTTTTTTGATGTCCCGCTTCCAACTCGGAAACTCATCAACCGGTGTCATGTGATGCTCGTGCAAACGGATCCGGGAAGCTGTGCCGGTTGCCAGGATTTGGGAGGTAGGGCCTCGGGGCTCTACGGTTTATGCTTAGAGTCCTGGGCCCTAAACCTTTCAAGCCTGATCGACTGCGGCCAGCGCCAAGACAGACGTTCTGCAAGTTCAGTTGTGCCAGGACAGGCGAAGCCCACAGACGATGACGCGACGGAGATTGACAAGGAAATCGACCAGCGCACTCCGGCACCAATGGATGTGGAAGCTTTTAAACGGCCGGTAAGTCAGTACCCAGATTTCGTAACCTACATTTTAAAGGGAGCCACATTCAGTACCACGAATCTCGTGCCCAAGCCCTGCATCCTTCGAGTCGAGGCCGGGCAATGCGCTGTGATACGCGTTCAGCCCCCCAAAACAGGAGAGCCCGGTGTAGTTATCAGGACTGCTAAGAGAAGGACGGCGTGTGTAGGAGCTGTTGACTTGCACGCTTTGTGCTTGTCGTCGTAAGCTCAGAAGTCGACGCAAAGCTTGAAGCATGTAAGCATTGAAACTGCATGTGTCTGACAGAATCACTGCCTTCTGCTTAGAATTCAGTCCAGTGCACGCTGTGTGGACAGTTTTTCCTCTTTGGTGTGTCTGCCCAACGTGCAGACCAGCCCGTGCAAACTTGAAACCAGCCCTATGACCACACATCAACGCTGTAGCGTCGACTCTCAGACGTCCATTTCCGCGGGCATACCAGCCCAAGACTCTAAACCCAAACCAAGCCCTAGACCCGAAAAGCCCTGCAAGAGCTCAGGTGTCAATCAGGCGCAGACCTTGCGCTTCTGCAAACGCAACGTGCTGGAAGTGAAGAAGGCGACAGCGGCGTCCCAAAGTTGAAAGCCAAATTTCTGCCAGAGGGACCATGAAGCTAGAGCCTTGAACCTTAAACCCTACCCAAAACCAGGCACCGAGAGACCGCGGCTGGCTTGTCCGAGTTGTGAGAACAAGCCCTGCTGCATAAGCATCTAGAGCATTCTAAAAAGCCCTTACAGCGAGGCAGTCTTTTGAGAGTCGAAAGCTTTCGTGGACCTCCCTGATTCTGTCAGGACCAGGTGCGATGCAAGCTCTGCTGCCCGACTGCGAAGCTAGGGTTTTTATTTTCCTCGCTTTGTGGGATGTAGGGTTTGGGATTTACCGAGCTGGTGCTTGGGGTTGAGGGGGTCTCAGAAGAGGTCAGGGGTACCTTCCTCCGATATCCTGCCGTTTTCGGCCTTGTATGCTCCCTGCGGCGCCGAGCCGGATGGGTTGCTGAGAGATTCAGTGACTGGGTTCGGCGCGCATCATGGAAGAATTAGTCGCTGCCTATACGACGAGACGAGCGCCACGTAAAGGTGTCTTACCGGAAGCTTCGAACTCTTTCGATCCTAAATCTGGAGGCTGTGGATCGCGCTTTGGGCCCATGGAAACCTTACCTCGCGCATCAATACAAGCTCTCCGCCTTCGGCGACTGAGAGGGCAGGTTCTAATAGGCCCATCAATTTCTCTCTGTCAGGGCCTTGGCAAAGGTTTCGGTAACCTGCTCCAAGCAGTCTGACGGTTAACCCAACTCTCAGAGAGTTTGGGATTGCCCTGGAGTTTCCAGAACAGCGGAGGCTTAAGGGAGAAGCCTTGATGGCATGAGTCCAGTCGGCTTCAAATCCGAAGCCCAAGCCGCTCAATCCCAGGGCGCCCAGTCCTTGATCCGACGAGCTCAGGCTACAAGACGCTGCCCAACACCTTTGCATGCGAGGAGCATATCGTCAAGGAGCATGAGGCCCCCCGACCTTGGGGTCGCCGAGTTTGTGAGGCTGAGGTTCTCGTGTTGATAAGCGTCGCCGGCAGCAGGACGACTTTCAGAAGGAGCAGAAAATCTGGGAGCGCTTCCTCTTCACTGTCTGCAAGAGGCAACCGCCTTTCGGGTGGCAGTGCCCCTTGGACAGCAGACGATTGTGTTGGCTAAATGTCCTATCACGCCCCAAAGTTCTGTATACGTAAGCTAAGCCCCAAACCTGGAGCTGCAAGTTTTCGAGCCTCCTGTAGAGCTACATATGCAATTGAATGGTGCTCGTCTGTTTTTTGCATATGCAAGCATTTTGATGCGGTGCAGGTTAGGTTTAAGAATCGGTTGAAGTATCCGTAGACCAGGCAAGATTTGCTCGATCTTCTTCGCTTCGGATGGGGCCTGTTGGCGCCATGTGGGCAAGGAGGTGTACATCAGGCCGGGAGTGCTTGGGCCAAGTAAAAAAAGGGGCCTCTGGGTTCCAGGATGTTGGGAGATGAGTCTTCGCAACCCTGGAAAGCAGAAGCCCTGCCTGTCAAGACGGCATCGGACCTATATAAACCCTCCGGGCACGCCCGAAGTCTTTCGCGCGTGGCCAGCACGGCGGAAGAATGAAGTGAGCTACTTGGAGGTTCATGGGTAGTTATAAGTGGGAAATAGGAAGGTAACTATACTTATAACCCATATTAGGGGACTTATAACTCCACTTATATCTACCCATGAACCTCCAAGTAGGAGGTATTGGGGTAAGGAAGGTCTCCAGTCGTGCCTGTGGGGCGAACGGTCGCCCTGCGATACGACGATACGAGAGTGACAGAAGCCATGTCTCAAAGCTACAAGATAACGTCGGCTGGATACCCACATCTTCAGGATCGATTCGGCCAGGGTGTGGGTTGTTCTGATTTAGGGCTGCGTTGAAGAAGCAGAGTGTTGTGACAACTGGCGCTCACCCGAAGCCCAACCTTTGCAATCAGGATTTAGGGTTTAGGGTTTAGGGTTTAGGGTCTCGGGAAGTTCTAGGAATCCCCCCAGGCCGCCCCCAAACCAGGATCCTGCCTCCTTGAAGCGCATGGGGGAGACTTGTAAATGTCGCCAGTCGCTGCCAAGCCTTAAAGCCTGAAGGCTAAACTGGCCCTAAACCGTATAGCTTAGAAACCCGAGACCCGAAATCCTGCGCACAACTCTTAGTCTTAATCGTACCCCACCTCTAACTCCATGAGCCCTCTAGGAACATTGAGCGCAGTGGATGCCGAATGTTTCGGGGCTGCGAGAGTCGTTTCGTAATGTCCCATAAGTGGAGGCAAGAGGAGCGCCACATGAGCATGTGGCATGAGAAGGAGGACAGAACATTGCGGAGGGGACTGCTTGGCTTGAACACATCCTCCACGTCAACGCCACTTTATGCTGCGACTTGTTGCCTTGCTTCAACTCCAGGACCGCTGGGGGCACGCAGAGGACGAAGAGTGCTGTGGCGATGGCATGAACGTCGGCCGAGGCTCGATCCAAGGAAACATGAGAGAGGTATGTATAAGTACACAGTTATGTTTATAGACATGTATGTATGCATGTAAATACACACACACACACATGCTTTCAGAAAGAGCAGCCAAATAAACAAATACGGCTCAATAAATAAACCAAAAACCAAACAGACAAAAACACATATTTTCTGTCACATACTTAGCCACACACACACACATATATATATATATGTATGTATATATATATATATATAACCACCTGTATTAAAGTGAGTATATATATATATACACGCACACACACATATGTATAAATGTATATATATATATGTATATATATATATATGTATATATAGACATACCCTATTCACCCCACCGAAAGATCTATGGTTTTATGGCCTTCGCATGCTGCGCACTACCCTTTGGCAAACCCTGCTTTTACTGAGTACAAGAAGCTAGAGACCTGCAAATCTTCTTTACGAAGAAGATGAGGGTATTCAGCCTTTGGTGTTCTCCCTAAGGTCCTAGGCATGCTTCACCGAAGCAAGCAACTAGGTCTGCGCCAAGGATTCAAGTAAAGTGCTGCTTACAGCATCGCTTGCAAGCAAGTTGCAACACGATTCCTCGTGGCGC